CATGAGCAGTAGCAATTAAGCTCTCGAACCTCTGTCCCAGCTAATCCGCTGGTCCAAGAAGGAAGAGAGACATGAGACCAAACCCAGACTCAACTTGCTGCTTAGAGCCACCCAGCCAAGTCTAGCCAGGATCAGCCGCTCCCCAGCTGAGAATAAATGAGTATTGTTTTAACTTTTAAGGTGGTTTGTTATACAGAAATACCTGATTGATAAATTGGCAGAGCCTCAGTTTCAGTTAACATGGGAATAACAATATCTATACCATGATGTGATGCCATTATCACTGTACCTAATAAAGACCAAACAAGAGTTCCCTGCCCCTGGCTTGGCTTCCCCAACATTCTATGTGGTGACAATTTACTAAGATGGAACTACATTTCTCAGAATCCCTTTCCCCAAATAGTCCTGAGTGCACATTGGCCACAAGAGACATTTTGTACAAGATTTGGAAGCCAGAAGTAAAGCAGTAGACATGATTTTTTCAATGCGTTTGAAGATTGAAGCAGGGCACCAGGCACAGTGGCAGCTCACACACATTGTTGTTAATCTGATAGCTTGCCTTGTTGGCCTGAGTCCTGGGTCAAGTGCTTATGCAATTCCGTGGTAAAGGGCACCAGCTTCCCCTGCAAGTCACCCATGGCGTTGAGGTTGGAGGCGGTGAGAGACAAACGTACGTTCTAATTTGTATTTGCTCTTGTTCACACCCAGCTTTCTACCAGTTTGGCTGACTACTTTAGGTTCAACATCAGATGCAGAAATAACAGCCTTGCCTCGACACCTCCGCTGTCTCCCACAATCATGCAAAGTCTAATCCTTATAACAAATCCCTCATTCTCTTTCAGTCATGGTGTTTCTGCTTCTCTGGGCTGAACCCTAACTGACACATTATGGTAGAGTCCATTGTAGTCTTAACCTGTAAGTTCATTTGGTTACCTAAAACCATAGTCTTGAGCTTTTTCTGATAGAGTAAGAAGTATGTAAGATTAAACTATCATTTATTGAGCCCTTACTGTGTACAAACACTATGCTAACATTAAATGGTCCCAAGACTCTCATACAGTCTGGTTCACTGTTGTCATCACCAGTTGGTAGTTTAGAGATACCTGCTAGCTGCAGTAATGCTCCAAGTCCTCACCGACACTTGAGATTTCAGGCTGGGATGCAATGCTCTCTGGGATGATTCTGGGTGGCCTTTGCTGCCTTCATGTAAAGAGCCTGGCATACAAGTGGTGCCCGTAAGGGGTTGTTTCCCCATCCTCAACTGTGACATTAATCTTTGCCCAGAAGTATCATCTTTGACCTTATTCAAGAACTCAGTCAGTTATTCTACATTAGAGATTGAATTGTGTCCCCAAAAAATGTGTCAACTTCGCTAGGCCATGATTCCCAGTATTGTGTGTTTGTCCACCATTTTGTCATCTGATGTGATTTTCCTACATGTTGTAATTCCTACTTCTATGATATTAATGAGGAAGGATTGGAGGCAGTTATGTTAATGAGGCAGAACTCAATCTATAATATTAGGTTGTCTTAAGTCAATCTCTTTTGAGATATAAAAGACAGAAGTGGGCTGAGAGACATGGGGACCTCATACCACCAAGAATGAAGAACCAGGAGAGGAACGTGTCCTTTGGACCCAGGGTCTCTGTGCTGAGAAACTCCTACACCAGGGGAAGATTGATGACAAAGACTTTCCCCTAGAGCTGACAGAGAGAGAGAGAGCCTTCCCCTGGAGCTGGCACCCTGAATTCAGACTTCTAGCCTCCTAGACTGTGAGAGAATAAATTTCTCTTTGTTAAAGTCATCCACTTGTGGTATTTCTGTTATAGCAGCACTAGATAACTAAGATGCTCTGTAAGAATGAAGTCTGGTCCCCAAACCTTTGCCTAGTGGCTGGGTCCTGCTACCATGGTCAGGTCTCAGAGGGTGACTGCTTGTCTGCCTCAGTCCCAAGTGTTGACCCTCCTGGACTGAAGCAACACCTGTAGTTCTGTGCTACTTGTTGAGATGCCCCACCTCTTACTGGACATTTACCGCTACTGGGGAGCCACTTCATACAGAACCCTTCCCTCATCTACTATCTCTCATTTGCCAGGTCAGGACTGAGGTGGTTGCCTTCGTTGGATACAGTCTGGGGGCCCACCTGTGCCTCTGCAATCTGCACTGGTAGCCAGGTGAGTTGTCCAGCATTTGTCCTGTCCCAGGAACTAGATGTGTGAAAAGACCAGGATTTTTCCCTTGTTATACAAAGATTAAATTCAGTAGGGCTTTTTGCAACAACAGTAATAACAACTAAAATGTGTGTGGTTACATAGGTAGATATGTATGCTCTTGTGTGTATAGGTAAGCCCATATGAATATATGGGTGTGTATGTATAGGTGTTTCTGTAGGCAAATGTATATACGTTTGTGTGTGCTACATATATATTCATATATGAAATAAAGCACATAGAGGGCACATTTATGGATACTTCCTAGACATAACCAAACACCTCATGGGATTGGGTTACTGGGTTTGAGGGTTTAGGACCATAGTCTCTCTGGGCAATTCAGTCAACTGGCATAACTCATTGCTATAAATTGGCTCATAAAGATAATATCTACATCCTAGTTTGGTGAGTAGTGTCTGGGGTCTTAAAAGCTTGCATAAGACCATCTAAGATACAACCATTGGTCTCTATGTGTCCGAAGCAAAAGAGAAGGAAACCAAAGACTCAAAGAAAAACTAGTCTACAGGACTAATCGTCTACATGAAACATGGTTTCACCTACCTTGAGACCAGAAGAACTAGATGGTGCCTGGCTACCACTACCAACTGTTCCAACCAGGGGTACAATTGATAGTCCTCGATAGAATGGGAAAAAATGTAGAACAAAACTCAAATTCCTAAAAAAGGCAAGACTGCTGGATCAGTAGAGACTAGAGGAACTCCCAAGATTATCACCCTGGGATACTTTAAACTTGGAACTCAAACAACTCCCAGAGGTCACCTATCAGGCAAAAAGACAGAGTGCTCATAAAATAAATAATATCACCCATGAGTACCATCATCCTCTAAACAATCATCTAAAGGAGACCTAATGGTCAACATTTACCCTAGACCAAAGATGGGAAGGTAAGCTAGATTAATGGAGACCAAACAACCAGAATGGAAATAATGAGAATGCTGACACATTGTGAAAAGTGTAACCAATGCCATTGAATAATATGTATAGAAATTGTTAAATGAGAACCAAATTTGCTATGTAAATTTTCTCACCAGGCCTGTCTTCTGACATGCCTCTGGGTGGGTTCAAACTGTCAATCTTTTGGTTAGTAGTTGACAACTTAATCGTTTGCACCACCCAGGGATGCAGAACTCTCCTAAGAATTGTGTTTTCCTCTGAGTTCTACACAGGGCTCTTCTGCAATGCATCTCTACCAGTACATAGAGAGAGGTGGAGAAGTTTCCTCCTATTTTAAGCATTTTATGGAGCCAGGGGATAGTTTTTAACGATGGTTTCTTTCTTACATGTTCTTTGTTTTACAAGGAATAATTTGTAAAACGGTTTCCCAGTCTAATATGTAATCATGAGCAATTTGTTTTGTAGGAAGTAGGGAACAGCTGGCATCCTCAAATGGAGTCAGTTAAATAAATCCTAATCACTTACACCTGCAGAAGCTGTCACTTTTGTAAGGTGCGTAATTAGCAGCCAGAGTGTGTGCTGGAAACGTGTGATGGTCTGTTAAATAGGGGCATAGCCCAGAGGCCGCCCAGATTTGGGGCTCTCCCTGCTGGATACGTTAACCCAGCCTGGCTCCACGGTCACTTGTTAAAGCCGATTGCATGCCTGAACGCAAAGTGTGTGGCCAAATGAGCCCACACTCATTGTTCCACGTGCAAAGCAGGTGTGGCATTTAAAAAATTGGGTCAATTTCCTTTTCACGTTGTGATTATGAATTCCCTTCCGCTTTTCTAGCCCAGTGGTTCTCAGCCTTGGCTGCACATTAGAATCATCAGGGGACTTTACAACTCCTGATGCCCAAGCTGCACCCCACACCAATGAAATGACTCTCTGGGGCTAAGATCCAGGAGTCACTAGTTTTTAAAGCTCCCCAGGTGATTTCAATGTGCTGCCAAGTTTGAGAACCAGTTCTAGACCCATGGTTCTCAAACTTCAGCTACATCAGAATCACCGGGAGGCTTGTTAAAATGCAGATGGCTGGGCCCTACCCCTGAGTAGTTCAGTAGTCAGGGGTGCAGGGGGGGGGAGGTCCAGTAATTTACACTTCTCAGATTTATTCAAAGAATGCTGCCAGTGTTTAAAATGTTGAACTCCTTTTCAAACTATAAACCGTTTTTTGCACATGATGTTTGACAGGCATTGTGCTAAGTGTTTTACAGTCATTAGCTCATTTAACAGGGAGCCCTGGTGCTGCAGTGATTAAGCGCTCAGCTGCTAACCAGAAGGTCGGCGGTTTGAACCCACCAGCAGCTTCTCAGGAGAAAGATGTGGCAGTCTGCTTCCTTAAAGATTACAGCCTTGGAAACCCTCCTGTGCAGTTCCACTCACTCCTATAGGGTCGCTACGAGTCAGAATCAATCGACTCGACAGCAACAAGATTGTTTTTTGGAGCTCATTTAACCATTTTCACTAGGTTCATTCTCATGTTTCAGTTCACAGAAACAGTGCCACACCTTTGAGACACCTTCCCTGGCACCCTTTATAATGGCACCTGCCCCAGTTACTCTACCTCACCACTTGGTTTATTTCCTCCAGGGCCCTAACCAGTCTGTCTACTTCACTTTATCTAGTGCCTACCACATGGCAGACACTCCATGAACATTTGCCAAATGAATGAATCCACACAGCAACCCTATGAAAGAGGGTACTATTATGGTCTACATTTCATAGGTCACAGAGATTAAAAAATACACATATCATCCAAAAGTCGTAGTGGAGGAACTGAGTCACTGTGTGTGGGCCAGAGCTGAGCTCTCAAACCACTGCAAGGACTGATTGATCATCAGCCTTAAAAATAGTTGTTTTCCCAGCAGTAAACTCAATTATTCACCTAAGAATGCCAAGTATCTTTGCCTTATTGCCACTTGACTCAAAGCTTTTTTTTTTTCTTCTTCAAATAATAAAACCAAGAATCCAAATCCAGGTGGCCAAACTATACAGTGGCAAGTTCTGATTTAAAACTCTGTTCATACCAGAAACCTACTTAAAATGCCCCAAAGCAAGTTAAGAAAGATTTCTACCTGATGTAAAATTATACTAAAACCTTTTAATTAAAAATGCTGGTATTTAGGTACGGAAAAATGACATAAAAACAAGTGGATTTAAATTATCTTTATATAGCATGCCAGTACAGTTTATCCTGGTAATAAATTAATAGTTATCAAAAAATGTTGGACACTTTCCAAGAGAAATGCTTCTGCGTATGTACACCAAAGTGTATGTAGAACCAGTTGACTTCACATTCAAACTCTGAAGTGTGGCAACATCAAGTTATTGAAGAATGGAGTGTCTTCACAGTAAATCATGATCTAAAGTTTGAGTTTATAAAGGTTTCAATTGCCATTTCAGTTCCTGCAAGCTACCAAGCCATGATACAGAACTGACAGCTTAGACATAGAGCTAATCCAGGCTCCTAATTGTACAAATGAGGGATCTACTAGCCTTGCCAAAGATTACAAAGCCAGTAAGAGACAGCCTGTTCTACAAATCAGTTGAGGTGCTCCAGAAACATGTTGGGTTAAATAAGGCACAAATATCACACAAAACTCTAGTTCATATCTGAAAAGACCCTAGTTTCATTTTATGCTTAACAAAGGATTGAATCCTGATGTGTTCTTTTGTAGTTCACAAATTTAGTGACTTGGTTGCTGTGGAGACAAAGTCATTCCCATAGTTGTGGCTTATCACTGAACACTGCTAGTGCTGTTTATGCTTCTTTTCTCCTGTTCGGACTTGGGCAACTTTTCTTCCTGTTCTATGCTCAGAATAGATCACATTAAGGGTCTCTTCTTGTTTGAAATTTAATATTAGCAGAAGGAACCAACTTGTTATTGATACCTACAAAGCCATCAACATTTGAGTTCACTTCTCTTTACGGCTCATTCCACTCAGTTATCACTTAGCATCCTGCTGTTCATTTGAGCATTCACTGGTTCCAACAGCTCCTGCAGAGCAGTTGTGGATTACTTCTGGGTGTCAGTGTCTCACCAAGCAATGCGATTTCTCATCACATCAAGAATATGCCATATGATGCTGCTGGTAACGTCCTAAGCATTTCAGCATACAACTTCTGGTGATTTATTGTCTCAGACTAATGGTTAAACATAGCCATGCTGCTGGCAGACAAAAAAGGCCATACACTTGTTTTAATTGAAGCCCCCAGTGAGCGTGTGCATCACATTTATCAATCAGTTACAGAATGTTCACATTGTGGTAAGCCATTTTTCTCTCTAGCTGCAGGAGTCATTTCCTACACATCCTGCCAGATAATAATGCTTTTTTTTTTTTTAACTTTTTATACACAGAAGAAAGTTGCATTTATAAAGGGGGTTTTCAGATTTCCATATGTGATTCTAATTTTTGCTACTCTCAGCACTACAGCAAAGGAAGGCTGGTGGCCTATCTTTTTGTATTTACTTTTCTTCAGGGGAACATTTCTCTGTAAGAGTTTATGTCTGGTTCGGTTACAGGTTATATGCCCCTCCATGGGCATATTTACTCAGAAACAGCCTCCTGTTTTCAAGCTCATTTTAAGCAAATGAGGAGTTATTATAGATGCTTCACCTTTTAGGAGTAGTAAACTGATACTGTGATAATGTTGGAGGCATTGCCACCAGGAATAAAGACTTGACATTAGCCCCCAGCTGGAGTGTCGTTTCATTAGCCTTTTCTAAAAACAAGCGAACAAAAATCTAGCCATAGAAATATGACTTGCCCTGATCTGGCAGAATCACGCAAGCATGTCACTTGCTAAGCTGGCATGTTTTGCTCCTCATTCTTCCCGTGGCTGTTTTGTTTTTTTATCTTGTCCCAATTTTAAAGAAACATACAGAATATCGACAAGAAAACTCCATATTCTTTTATCATTTCACTTTTTGATTTTTTCTTTCTCATTCAACTAACTTTTAGTTCTGGAGAAATCATGAGCTCACTACATTTCCTTTTTAATACCACGCCCAGCCCTCTACACATGAAGTGTAACAGATAAGCCATGTTTAAAATAACATGAACATTTTAATAACGACAAGACTGAGGAGACTAGCTTGGTGCAGTAACTGTAAGTGCAGTCCTGACAAGGAAGCTAATATTCTTAAGTTTAAAACAGGAAAAGTCATCTCAAATTTCAAAGGAAAGGCTAATTTTAATAATCTTAATTACCAAGCCAAAAGTACAATCCCTTTTTCGTTAAGGAATACCAATGACTTTGAGGTAGATGATGCTGTTATCAGATACTGAAGTAATTAAGTTTAAGATTTGATGAAACTGAGGGAAAGAAAGCACTGATTTGAAATCATTTTCCTTTAAAATTCAAGTGGAAAATTAAGACCATTTGCGACTCAAAGGTGTAAGCATGAAAATCAGGCATGTCATGTTGTGGCCAGCTTCTTTAACTGAAGATGAATGTGGCTGTCCATGGTAAGAATCCACACTCTAACGGAACAGCAAGCCACAAAATGGTTGTCCCCATGAAGAGGCCTATAACTTTGCATTTGACTTTTCCAACTTGGCTCATTCCCAGCTGTTCAAGATTTGGATTCCTAAGGTCGTCTTCAGCATTTAACTAATTCTTTGTTGGTGGAAGGGGCTGGGACTGTTTCTCCACACATAAACTGATCCTAAGAAAGAACAGAATGAGAAATGACATTAACGACCAAGTCTCCATGTCACAAATGCATTAATATTAAACTTCAATTTTGTTACAGAATCAATACAGTTCTGTTAATTTAGCTTTTCTATGCTATGTTACTTCATCATTGTTCACAGTCAACGTCAGAACCAGAATTATAATCTTAAAAGGTATCAGTTTTTAGTACTGGATTCATATTTAATACAAAGCACCTTAGCTTATAAACAAACCTTCCTGTCTTCATTACGAGCACCCACTTCTCAGAAATCACATTTAAAAGGCATGTCACATCTTTTAAGTCTCTTGCTACTTAAACTAAAACTTCTGTACTTCTATATTTAGTCACTCAAATACCTGTCCTCTCCAAAGTTAACACTTCTTCTAACTAAAAAGAACAGGTCTTTATGTATTTCCCAACACAGATAATATGCAATGTTAGCTAGTTTGTGATCAAAGTTCAATTTCTGATCACTTATTCCGGTTCATACCAGCTACCACAAAACCTTCCCCTCCCAGGTTACCCCTTGTCTCTTGCAATCTGATGCACGTAAGGATCAGCCCCTATTCTGTCCCTCTCTCCTCTGCACAGCACTTGGAACCTTCCCATTGTGCCCTCTGGAATTCATAGTCTTGTCAGCAAGATGTCTTCTTTAAACTGTCCCTTAGCTTTCTTGCTCTAATACAGTGATTCTCAACTAGGGGTGATGTTGCAATTTGGTGAGAAGCCGTGGTAGGGCAGCGGTTAAAGTGCTTGGCTGACAACCAGAAGGTCAGCACTCAAACCCAGCAGCCGCTCCATGGGAGAAAGATGTGGCAGTCTGCTTCCGTAAAGATTTATGGCCTTGGAAACCCTATGGAGCAGCTCTACTCTGTCCTATAGGATCACTATGAGTTGGAATCAACTTGACAGCAGTGGTTTTTGGTTTTGGGGAACACCCGGCAAGGTCTGGGAACGTTTTTGGTTGTCAAAACTGGGGGGAGGGGAATCACTATCGGCATGTAGTGGGTAGAGGCCAGGGATGCTGCTAAATGTCCTACAATGTGTAAGTTAGCCCCATACAACAAAGAATTATCTGAGCCCAAATGTCAATAGTGCTGAGGGTGAGATGTAGCCATCCCGAGGACACTGCTTCCCTACATCTCCCTCAAGTGGTGACTCTGTGTTCTGAGTCTTAGTACCACAGGGCTTGGTTGGGGGGTTAGGGGAGATGACATCATTCCTGACTCTCAATACCATCGTTTCCTTTCTGGACTTTCCTGTTCCCTCTATTTTTAACCGGGTTCCCATTAACCGTTTGACCTGTTACCGTCAAGTTGATTCTCAGTCATAGGGACACTACAGGACAGAGTAGAATTGTCCATAGGGTTTCCAAGGCTGTAATCCTTATGGAAGCTGACTGCCACATCTTTCTCCTGCAGGACAGCTGGAGGGTTTGAACCCGACCTTGTGGTTAGCAGCCGAGCACTTAACCACTGTGCCACCAAGGCTCGTGGGCAAAATGACAGCCTTGGTTAAATTCAACTTCCTGTGTCTACACCTGTGCAGCTAAATGTCTACCACCTTAAACTTTCTCTTGATCCTATATCACCACCAGTTACTGCCTCACATCTCTGCTCCCCTTTGCAGAAAAAATCCTTGAAACAAATGTCTACACTTGCTACCTCCTATTCCTCTTCTCCCATTCTCTCCAGCCAGTTTCTCCAATCAGGTATCTGCCCCCACTACTCCATCAATCACCATTGCAAATGACCTCCATGTTGCTAAATCCAACGGTTAATTCTCAGTTCTCATGCTATCAAAGACATCTGACAAGGTTGATCACTTCTTCCTGCTTTTTCATTTGGCTTCCAGGATATGACACTGTTGATTTTCCTCCCTCTTCAGTGGTTGCTCCTTTTCAGTCAGCTTTGCTGATTCCTCCTTGACCTCTTAATGTTCGATTACCCCAAGACTCAGTCCTTTCTTTTGTCCATCTCTATCTACATCCACAGCTCTGGTGATCTCATCCAGTCTCATGGCTCTAAATACGATCTATATGCTGACAACTCCCAAATTTACATCTCTCCAGCTCTCTCTTGAACTGCAGACTTGTATTTTCAATTGTCTACTCAACAGCTCCACTTGGATAATAGACCTTTCAAATTTACAATGTTCAACACAAACTCCTAATCTTGGTTGCCCCCCTTTCCATACCTGACACCTGTAGTAACCTCCCCTTCAGTTTTGTAGTTACCTCTTCCTTCATCCTTCCAAGACTAAGACCACACATGTTGAAATCCTCCTTGACTCCTCTCATACCCAATGTCCAATCAGTAAGAAATCCTTAGTCTTCAAAATGTATCCAGAATCCAACCACTTCTAACCACCTCCATTGCTGCAGTCTGGTCCAGGCCACCTCACTTCCTGCCTTGATTACTGTAAGAGCCTGTTAACTGGTTTTCCTGCTTCTATCTTTCCTCTCTCACAATCTACTCTCAACACAGCAGCCAGAATCATCTTTTTAAAACTCAAGTCAGATTATGGCACCCCTGTACTCAAAAACCTTTCAGTGGTTCCCCATGTCATTCACAGTGAAAGCCAAAGTCCTTAAAAGTGGTCCACAAACATCTCTGTGATCTGCCCCACTCCACTAATTTCATCTTGGACTACTCTCACCCTCATTTACTCTACTCTGGTGTCCTTGCTGTGCCTTGAAAAAACCACGCATGTTCCTGCCTTAGGGCCTCTTCAGTGAATGTTCCCTTTGCTGGACTTCTCTTACCTCATACATGTGCCTGACTCACTCCCTCACCTCCTTCAAATCTTTGCTCAGATATATTCCTCTTAATAAGACCTACCATAACCATCCTATTCAAAATTGCAACCTACACCCATGCCTCCTCCCAGTGCAGCACTCCTCATCACCCTTACCCTGTTCTCTTTTTGTTCTGAAGTACATTTTACTTTCTATACACACAGTATAATTTACTTATTACGTCTGTTTATTATCTGTCTCTTCTTCCCACTACCCTCTAGATTCTAAGCCCCATAAGAGTAGGAATTTTTATGTTTGGTTCACTGAACCACATTCATTGAACACTGGCTGGTGCACAGTACAGGTTTGATAAATATTAGTTCACTGAAAGACTAAAAGAATCAATCATTCTATTTCTAAATTACGGTTTGGATTAGCCTACTTCTCCCATGAGGCTCTGTGCCTTCCCCCACATACTCACTTTAGAATTCATCCTTAAGCATCTTAAGCTTTAGAATAGCTTTGTAAGCCCCTTACTTTAGTAGACGAAAAATTGGGGATGGAGCTGACAATGATAATATTTATTTTGTTTTCCACGGTCAACAGCCATTAATTCAGACTAAGATGATATTGTAAAATAGCAACTATGAATTCTATCTCAAAAAAAGATAATTGAGATTTCCATGTATAGACCAGAGCCCTGGTGGCACAGTGGTTAAGTGCTCAGCTGCTAACCGAAAGGTCAGAAGTTCAAATCCCCCAACTGCTCCTTGGAAATTCTATGGTGCAGTTCTACTCTGTCCTATAGGGTTGCTATGAGTCAGAATTGACTCAACGGCAACAGGGTTTTTTTTTTTTAACATATAAACTAAGGAGTCCCTAGGTGGTGAAAACAGTTCAGCGTTTGACTACTAGCTGAAAGGTTGGCAGTTAAAACCCATCCAGAGGCACCTCGGGAGACAGGACTGGTGATCTGCTTCTGAAAGGTCACAACCACGAAAACTCTACGTAGCACAATTCTACTGTGCACACATGGGATAGCCATGAGTTGGTATCAACTCGACAGCGGCTAACAACAGGTATAAACCACACACACACACACACAAATCAGCCATTGAAAACTCTACAGAGCACAGTTCTACTCTGATACACATGGAGTCACCATGAGTCGGAGTACGCTTAATGGCAACTGGTGGTTTTATGTAATAACCAGCCAAGAAAAACTATATAGTTGTTCTCTTCAAAATGAGTCTAGGAGTTCTGAACATTCTTAATTACATATTAAATACAGGAATGATGTTGTTGTTGTTGTGTGCCATCAAGTGAGTCTGACTCATGGTGACCCTACAGGACAAAGTAGAACCCCCACCCCCATAGGGTTTCCAAGGCTGTAATCTTTATGGAGCAGATTGCCAGGTCTTTTCTCCTGCAGAGCTGCTAGTGGGTTTGAATTGCTGACCTTTCTGTTAGTAGCTAAGTACTTAATCATTGTGCCACCAGGGCTCCTTAGAGGAATGATAAAGACTGTCAATTAAATAATCTTTATAATTATTTTTTTTCTGCTTAACAAGTAATCAATTTTCCTTAGACAAAATGCAGTTCTCTTTAATACATTATCCTTTCCAAAGCTAAAATGAAGTAATCTGAACTTAAATTTACTATATGGCTATTTTTTTTTTTTTAATTTTTTGTTTTTAAAAAACATAGCGCTTTGCCTAACCCTGTTATAAAACATTCTCCAGCACTTACATATCACAGAAAAGCTGCTTTAGGTCCTTGCCATGCGTTACATACACCCCTCCCCGTTTTGTAATTAGAGTCCTTACTTTGTCATAAATCACTTTTATAACGAGAGAGCAGCTAGGACACGTTGCCACATCTTCCCCATTCTCCAAATCCTCCTATAACAAAATCAAACACCGTGTGGTCAGCATAATCTTCCCTTCGGCCTATCTTCTCCCACACTCCTCCCACCCTTATTTGCAAACACCTTTTTGGCTTGCCTCCAACTCATGGTTTATGAGGGGCAAAAGGCCAATCCCATTTTTCCTGAAGCATCATTTAAGGGTAGCACCGGGTCGCCTCAAAACCCCTGGAAAAGCAAAAACGCGTCCCCTCCTCCAAAAGAGAATCCCAGGAAGGAACCCCCAACAACCCCACGCCGGACTGCCTAAAGGCCAGAACAATGTGCCTTCACACATCAAAAGCTCAGAGTATTACACTTGGGGGTGGGGGGTCAGAAATCGGATAAAGAGGGTAGGGGTAGCCCAGAGTCTTAAAAGCGACGGAAAATCTGAAGAGACAGGGCAGAGCAAAAGTCGCCCCAGCTCCGGCGAGTCGTCCGGCGGGACTCTGAAGTTACCTTGGTGATACAGAAGTTATCACCACACGGGCAGGGGTAGAAATACGACTCCGAGTCCTCGTCATATTGGAAGTCCTCGATCTCCACCTCATCGTGAAACACTGCCATTATCACTGGGTCCAGCAAAAGGGCCGTCGGCCCCGCCGTCTCACACCGCCTACGCCTGCCTAACTTTCCGTGGCTCCCGCCCGGCAGTGCGTTTTCCACGTGAACCAGTGCAGGAATTTTCGCTTCCGGCGCACAGAAAATGACGCATCTCCGGGCTTGGAGGCCAAATGGGTGACCGGTAGCGGTCACCAGGGAGACGGCTGAGCTAGGGGACGGAGACACTGGAAGGACTGAACTACCTGATCAGTGGTGTCCCGCACCGCTCCTTCCATTGGATGGCAGCAACGAATAGAATGTCGGGATAGCTTGCACGGCTGCTACGTCACGTCAGAGTCGCCGGAGGCTGTCAGGCGACGCAGTCCGAGTCTGGAAGCTAGATCACTGCGGCGGCGTCGAAACCTCGCACGGCCGCGGTCGTTTCCCCTCTTCAGGCCCGCTGGCCTCGGGGAGGCCGTAAACTGACCCGGCTGAAGGCTGCAATAATCGCTGGGTAGCATCGACCCGGCGTTCGGTGCCCCTTGGGAAAGGGGGCACAGGTTCGCTTCGTCTGAGACGGCGACGGGAGCAGCTCTGCCTCTTCGACCTCCCTCTCTGGTGACTGACCAAAGGCTCCCTTGGAATTTCCATTCACCGAGTGACCCTGAGTTCAGTGCGACGCCCAGCTTGTTAAAGTCTCTGGCTGCACTCGGCTTTTCAGGTACATCCCCGCCTCTTCTCTCTCACCCTAGGTATCCTCAAATGCCCTGAATTGTGTTGCTGAAAGGGCCAAGACTTGGAAGGCAGTGATCGAGTTTTAGTCCTATGTCTACCAGGCATATAACATTACTAATAACAGTGATTTGTAATAACAGTAATAACGTCACTTATTTTTGGGCGTTTGTTATGTGCCGGGTATTGTGCCAAGTATAATTCTTCCAGCAACCCTGCTGGTTTAAGTGTTATTTGATTATCTTAAAACAGGTACAGAGGGTAGGGTAACGTTACCAAGGTCACACACCTAAATGAAGAGCCTGCCTGTCTCCAACGCCCAGGGGCAAATTACTTATGTGAACCACAGTTTCTTCTTTGTAAAAGGGATGGCATCAGCAGGCAGAGTTATCAGCGTGAGACCTTTGTGTACCTTGCAAAATGCAAATATTAGGTGGTTTGTTTTGAAAGCAGCGCTAGCACCTGCTTTGGTACAATAGGGTATTGCTCCATTTACACATTTATGCAAAACAAAGCAAACCCTCAATTAGATGAACTGACAGAATAGCCACAACAATGGACATACCAACCGTAATGAAGATGACACACGACTGGACAACGTTTCGTTCTGTTATTCATAGGGTCGCCATGAGTGGGAGCTGACTCAACAGCAGCAACGACAACAAGCATGTCTTCATAGAGAAGGAAGGCAGTGTAGTGAAAAAGCATTGGATTGAGAAGCAGAAGCAGAAGATCTGGGCTCAGAATCTGACGGCTGTGGATTAGCTCTGGGACTTGGTCATGTACATTCTTTGAGCTTTATTTCCTTTCCTGAGTAAGAGATGATTTACAAGATCTCTTTCATATCCAGCATTCTGTTTTATGGAAATTATGCGTTTTACTTGGTTCTGCAATTAGTTATACCATGTTTAGTTATTTATATAATACATGTATGTAATGCACAGATGTACACATCCTTATGCTTATGTACATGCTCAAAGGTTTGCATGAAGTTACCATTTTGTGCATCCTGAGGTGAAATAGCACGCTGTTTGGCCCTTTTAAAGCTTGAAAACTTAAAGGAGACTTTGAAAGAAAATTCAGAATTACATTGAAGGAAGATTTATAGAAAATTATTTCAAAGACCTCAAAAAACTATTTTGCATAATTGAAGATCTACCCAACAGCAAGGAAACACTTATTAAACTTGTTGAGGGTTAACTGGAATGATTCTGGTCTGTCTTGGCAAAAAAGAAGTCCCAGCAAAGCCAATGTAGCTCAGTGGTTGCTCCCTACATGTCTTTGAGACATAAATATTGCCCAGGAGGGCAAGGAAGATTCTCCGGTATCTGTTCTGTAGACCTAATGATCATTTTGAGGTCGGGAACCACTTTTAGTTCTTGAGTGCTTCTGAGCATAAGTACCTACAGATTAAAGAGGAGCTATTTTTGAATGGCCAGCAATGGATGCTGTCATATTAAGCTCATGAAAGTATAAATTGGTAGTCATTTTAGAAAGCAGTTGGGAACTATCAAAAACAATTCACTGAGGAATCTTGAGATCTGAGATTAAGAGTCGTAAAAGTTATTGGGGGTTGTTGGGTAGTTTTTCTTTGTAACTTTTGTAATCTTCCAACTTGAGTATGTATTACCAAAAATGGAAAGAAGGAAACAAACAAAAACCCTGGTGAACTACTTAATAATGTTGACTGTGTGTGTTATGCACTGCACCAAATGCTTTTCATGCATTATGTCTTTGTTATCTTTAAAACAGCCCACTGAAGTGTCAGTATCATTAACCCCATCTTTAGCATTGGGAAACCTGAGGTTTATGGGCTAAGGAACTTGCCTAAGGAGGCAAAGCTCATTAACTGTCATGAGAACTCAGGTCTTTTTGACTCCAGAACCTAGGCTCTTAATTAACTGCAAAGCCATTTGTGCTGTGATGGTGCCTCAAGCAGAGCTAGATTTAAGTAAGCATCCCTGTAGCTCTGCAGACTACTGAGATTTTCTGCTAGAGCTGTGCTGGTTCCCTTCAGCCATAGATCGGAGGCCTTCTTGGCCTTCCATACTGCTTTCATTCTGCCATCTGTTGGCTATCCCCTTTGTCTGGCCAGGGGTAGTTGTTCCCCTTACGGTTCTGCTCAATTTGAGTTTACACTGTGTTGAGCAGAGTTAAACCACAGCCCAACATATAATACAGTTTTTTAGTCCACCCAGCAATGTTCTAAATACAGCATTACAATGACTACTAACTTCATTTGTTCCTAAAAGGGAATGGAAACATTTTTATAATGAGACATTTTTGTATCCTGAGAGTGTGACAAAAGCAGATTTACCGGTTGCTACAGGGCCTTTGAGATCACAGAAGTGTGCAGTGTTGTGTTTTGTTTTTATCAGAAAATGTTAACACTGCTGATCTGGAAAATCACAGTGATTGAAATTCTTAGCATAAGACTGAATTTAGAAAAGGTCATATTTGTGTAATAGAAACTGCGTTTGATGAGTGCTGTGGTTGTATAGGAAACCCTGGTAGCGTAGTGGTGCTAACCAAAAGGTTGGCAGTTCACATCCACCAGGCGTTCCTTGGAAACCCTATGAGGCAGTTCTACTCTGTCCTTTAGGGTTGCTATGAGTTGGAATCGACTCGACAGCAACAAGTTTTGTTTTTTTGTTTTTTGTTTTTGGTTGTATATCAGTTTGGGGACTTGTATATCGGCGGTCTCAAACCACGACCTCTCCTGGTTGTTTGGCAGGGAGGAGAGAGGGTTAATGTATTTGGATTGATTTTAAGTAGCCCTCTTGCTTGCCAGGTACTTCCATAGGTATTATTTCATTTATTCCTCTCAACAGTGCAATGAGGCAGTGTTGGTATTCCCATTTTATAACGGTTAGAGATGACTTGCCGAAGATCAAAAAACAAGAAGGAGTCAGACCTGAGCCCAGATCCACTGATTCTAAGTTAAATACCCTGTGTCGTAACAGCACCCTGTATTCCACTAGGGTTCCCCTACCAAATGCTGGGAGCCCCTTTGCTTCTCGGGGGCACCTAGGGTTTTAAATTGAGAGGTGCCATGATTGTTCTGAGAACTTACTTTAGTTCAGTGCATTGATGCTCTTTGAGGCATATTTGGTTCCTCTCTTTCTCTCACTGCTCCATCACCCGCATCCAGTCTATCACAAGTCATAAGGCTCAAATTCTAAATGCTACTCCATGTTCAGTGACTCCTGCCATCTCTGTAGCTGTTATCCTAGTCTAATCTTAGACTGGAGCCTCGTGACTGGACTTTCCTTCCACTCTTGCCCCTCTATGATCCTTTCTTCACACGGCAGCCTCAGTGATCCTTTAAAAATGTAAATTAGATCATGTCCCTCTCCTCGTTTATTCAAACCCTTCAGTTGCTTCCCATTGCCTGTGCCACGGCCTGCCGTGATCTGGCACATGTCAACCTGCCCAACTTCATTGTATAGCCCCCACACCACGCTCACTGCTCTCCAGTCACTGGCCTTGGCTCCTCGAACCTGCCAGGCTGGTTTCTGTGTTTGGACCTTTGTTCCTGCTCATCCTTCTGCTAGAATGCTCTGCCCCCAACATTTGCTTGGCTACCTCTTTCTCAGTAGGGTCTTAGTTCAGCTGTCATCTCCTTGGGCCTCGCCTTATATTCTCCAACCCACCCCATCATGCTTTCCTTTATCGCACTCATGATCTGTAGTTATTTTTTTAATTATCTGTTTACTATGATCTGTCTCAGCACAGCTTCAGGATGGCAAGGACCTTGCATCTGGGTCTTAATTGTATCTGCAGGGCCTGAAACTGTCTGGCACCCAGTAATTCTTGAACTGGAACCAGTGTAGTTAATCTTTAATCTGTCTCTGAATAATCTGTTTTAATATTTATTAAATATTAATAAATATTAAGTTTTTTTAGCATTTATGATAATTTTCTGTGTTTCAGAAAGAGTTAATTAAAAATTTTTTTGGTAAAGTAAGCTAAGGTTAGGCCTGGGAGGATACAAACATTGATGAAATACTCCATTTTTTGTAGGATTTTAGAAATTATTTAATATATGTTGATCTGCTCTGGTTGATGAAATACTTTACATATTAAATCACTGAACGTATTTCAAAAAATACGTAGTTTTTTTTTAATACCTCACTGAAATACTGGCAAAAAGGTTTGAAAGGCTTCTCAAAACAAATATAATTTGATAAAATGCCCTGTATTTACCAGTAGGTGGCACTCTTGCTTAGGATTACTATTGTAACAAAATAAGATTTTAGAATTTTTAAGAAGAGCTTTTAAAAATTAATATTTCTTTGTTTTCTACTTCAGTCAAGAAGTAGACCATTCAAACAGCGTAATCACGAAGTGATATATCTTGTTGCGAGGACAATTTATTTCAGCAATCGTTGTTTAAAACATTGAACAGAGCAATATTTCCATATTAAGTACGTTGTTAGCTGCCAGTGAGTTGGCCCCTGACTCACGGTGACCCCGTACACAGCATAAGGAAACGCTGCCCATTCCTGTGCCATCCCCACGATCAGTTGCAGATTGGACCATGTCATCCATAGGGTTTTCATTGGCTGGTTTTAGAAGTAGATTGTCAGGCGGTTCTTCCTAGTCTGCCTGAATCTAGAAACTTAACTGAAACCTGTTCAGCATCCTAGCAACACCCAAGCCTCCACTGACAGACAACTGTTGGCTGCACATATGGTGTATTGGCAGGGAATGGAATCCAGGTCTCCTGCATGGAAGAAGAGAATTCTACCACTGAACTACCACTGCCCACATATTTAACTATGTTGTTGTTACTGTTAGGTGCTGTCTAGTCATTTCCAACTCAGGGCGACCCCGTGTGTGCAGAGTAGAACTGTTCCATAGGGTTTTCAAGGCCATGACTTTTCAGAAGCACATTGCCAGGCCTGTCTCCTGAGGCACCTCTGGGTGAATTTGAACTGCCAACCTTTTGGCTAGTAGTCAAGGACTTAACCATTTGTGCTACCCAGGAAGTTTTATTTAACTATGTTGCTTTTATTTAACTATGTTGATTCTGACTTGTAGTGACCCTATAGGACAGAGTAGAACTGCCGCATAGGGTTTTCTAGGCAGTAATCTTTATGGGAGCAGATTGCCAGGTATTTTCTCCCATGGAGCTGCCAGTGAGTTTGAACTCTTGACGTTTTGGTTAGCAGCTGAGTGCTTAACCATTGTGCCACCGGGGCTCTTTTGTTAACTATACAGTAGTTAGATTTTATCAGGAAACTTAGCCTTAAGTGACACATAACTATATTAATTCAGGCATTGTTCTGGTGTTTTCATGGGATAAATATCCTAATAGTTAAAGACAGGCCAAGGCAGATGAAAAAGGGAAACAGTAAGAAACAATCAAAAATGAAAAGTGGAGACAGGAGGAAAAATTGATGGAAAGGGGGGAATAGAGAGTGGGTGTGCTGTGAGGTGATGCCTACTGATTATAACGAACCTTTCCTTTTGCAGCTAAGAGGTAGTAGTGCCTTTTTCATTTTCCCAAAACATTGTTCTTATATGTTGTCTCTGCCATTGCAGGAACTTTGTGAGAATCCCAATATATGGAAAAACTGCCCCTGTTCCAACTGGTGTATATCAGAAGGTCTCAGTATAATACCAGGACCAAAATATTGCATATCAGTCAGCCAGCCATACACTTAATGACTCCTAAAATCTCATGGACTTCTAAAGTAAGTTTTGCCTTCTTTCAGTGTTTAACGCACCAGTTTTGGGTTAGCACATTTAAAGAAGTGAAACTACATTAGTAGTCTTGCATGAGGTAAAAGAGGCCTTATATTTTTTTAATTTACTAGAAAATGAAAAATAACAAATTGCCTGTTTATCCACAATGATGCTGTATCATACTATGGCAAGAAGAAATAGAACTTTTATCTTAAGACTTAAGTTATGAAGTGGTGGGCTTTTTGATATTATTTAGCTACAACTGAATAAATTACATATGACTTTTATCATCACATGATTTAGTTATTTATTTTTTGTCTCCACCAACTAGAATGTAAGCTCCCAAGAGAGTCTTTGTTCTTTGTTCTAGTACTAGGCCAGTGCCTACCACATAATGGCTCTTAATAAATATTTGTTGATTTAAGGACTAAGTTAGTGAATATGGACTAAATTAATGATTTAATGAATAATGTAATTTATTCACACTTAGCTTCAGTATTTTTCTAACATTAAAATTATTATTACTAATATGTATAGTACCTTTCTTCCAAAGAGCTTAGAAAGAAAAAAGCATTCACATATATTTTCATTTATTCCCAAGCTAATAAACAAATAATAAATAATCAAAATAGGAAAGTGTCATGGTTTGAATTATGTCCCCCCAAAAATGCTTGTATCAGTTTGGCTGGGCCATGATTCCCAGAATTGTGTGGTTGGCCTCCATTTTGTGATTGTAATTTTATGTTAAAGAGGATTAGGGTGGGATTGTAACACCACCTTTACCCAGGTCACATCCCTGATCCAGTGTAAAGGGAGTTTCCCTAGGGTGTGGCCTGCACCAGCTTTTACCTTACAAGAGATAAAAGGAAAGGGAAGCAAGCAGAGAATTGGCAACCTCATGCCACCAAGAAAGCAGTGCCGGGAGCAAAGCGTGTCCTTCAGACCTGAGGTTCCTGCGCAGAGAAGCTCCCAGACCAAGGGAAGGTTGATGACACGGACCTTCCTCCAGAGCCGACAGAAAACCTTTCCCTGGAACTGATGCCCTGAATTTGGACTTGAAGCCTTGCCTTGGAGTTGATGCCCTGAGTTTGGGCTTGTAGCCTACTGGACTGTGAGAGAATAAATTTCTCTTTGTTAAAGCCATCCACTTGTGGTATTCCTGTTAGAGTAGCACTAGATGACTAAGACAGAAAGTAACAGATGTAGCAATATAACATGTTAGAAATGGCCATTTTAGGCAAAGAAATATTTAAAAATTGGCACAGGAAAACGGAATGGTAAGAACCAGAAAATATATCATCTGACTCCCAGTCAGTGCTCTTTCTAATAGGGCAATGGTTTTTAGGATTTGGAATGTTTGGGAGCTTTCCTGTGTGTGTGTTTAACTTTTTGTTAAAGTATAACTTCAACACAGAAAAGTACGCAGATCCTAAGAGGACAGTTTGATGAATTTTTACAAAGTGATGGATTTTTGCAAAGTAATCAGTACACAGGTCTAGAGGCAACATTGCCTCTGTCCCCCCCACCACCAAGAGTAACCACTAACTTGATTTCTAACTTTATAGGTTAATTTTGCCAGTTTTTGAACTTCACATGAATGGAATTATAGAAAATGTGCTCTTTTGAGTCTGGCTTCTTTCATTCAATGTGATATTTATGCGATTCATGTATGACATTGCGTGTAGTTGCAGTTCATTCATTCTCATGGCTATCAGCTATGGTGTGACTATATCACAGTTAACGTGTCCACTCTGTTACAGCTGTTTGGATAGTTTCCACTTTGAGCTATTGCAAATAGTATGACTATTATCTGTGGGGTTTTATTTTTTTAATATCTGGGAACCTCAAGCCTTTTATGTTTGGGAACTTCAGGAAATTTGTCTGCCCTTGTATTTTATCTAACAAGAAGTATTAAAGAGTTTGTAGTGTTCTATGGGTGAAATACAATTATTAGTTAAGAAGTCGACTCTCTTCTGTAATAGCATAAGATTTGTCATGTGAACTTGGTTGGGGAGTTTAGAAACCACTACAGAACATAAATATCTGACAGCACCAATAATTACATACTTTCATACTGTGGAGATCAATTGAATCAGCTCTAAAGAGTGGCAGAAATTTTGTCAGGCTGAAGTTAGGCCAATGGTTGCCTTGCTGTTAGATTGGCTCATAACAGCAGCAACAGAAATATTGTCCTCTATAAAATAGTCTATTTCCCGACTCTTTGTTAAATAACTTTCAGTTTTGTGTTTGTCCAGGAGGCACCATGGCTTGTGCTGCTGTCATGATTCCTGGGTTGTTGCGAGGCTCTGTTGGCACCACCTGCACTCGGGCTGCTTTGTTAAGACTGACACCTAGGTCTTTGCGCCACCTTACTCTAACCAGGTGAGTCATAAGCCTTCAGTGTCATTTGAAGTTGATTTTTAAAGGAACTTGACCTGCTGATTGCCGTGGGAGGCGTATCAAACTCCTAAAGGTAGTAACGTCTTGGCTTAAATGTACATGCTGTCAGTAGATGGTCAAACTTTGGATGTGCACATTTTACCTTGACCATTTTTTAGGCTCCATAATGTTATATTGTATTTTGGATAGCCATGATATTACAGGGGAAATTAATTTTATTATTTTTATGAGGATAATAATAACCTAATAATTTTACTTTCTGTTAAAGCGTAATGAAATCCAAAAGGAAAACTGATCACATGGAGAGAACTGCAGATGTCGTTCGCCGGGAGGTTTGTATCTTTGGGCAGTGGCAGGTTTCTCCAGTCTGGACAGTTGATACACAGTATGGCTACTTATGCGTACGGCGTTAGATGAGTCTGGACCCTTCGAAGGACAGTCAGGAAAGGTTTTTTATTTTTCTGAAGAGGATGTTTGGTAACTGATTTGAAAGATGACAGAAGTACTCACACTTTTCCCTTTAAACTTGGAATCAGTGGATTTGTTTATTTTGCCAATTCAACATTTTTTACATGTGTAATTCAGTGGCACCAATTACATTAATCATTTTGTACGACCATCACCAGTATTCAGTGGATTAACTTCTGATGGACTGTAGTAGCAACAAGGGAGTCATCCTCATGGAATGATGTTTAGGATTGTATTATAGGGGTAGACTTTTTTTTTCTGGACACCGGGTCTCAGTCTTCATTCTCATCTCTACTTTAGAACAATTTCTTATTTCATCAAGCGAGAAAGCACTGACATCTGAGAGAGGAAGGTGGATGAGCTCTTGTTACCCTTCTCAAGTACAGATTTTTCCCACCATATTCAGACTATTGGAAGCTAATCTACCACCTGAAGGGGGGTCAAGGGCTGGGAAGTAAAGGAGCTTTACCTTTTATCTCAGTGAGGAACCCCATTTTTATTTAGAAACATAAATTGAATATTTAATTTTTCTTTTCTGAGTGTTTCTCACATATTGGGATATAGTTAGCTTTAGTGTTGTAAGTATATCTAAATTAACAATTTAAAAAACTATATAAAGAAGGGTTGTACATATCTACAGACATCGTCAGCAGTTGTATTTTGGCTGTAGTTTAATTTTTAGTCTTAATAGAAGGATATACTTGCGTGTAAAGGCATATAGTTTTAGGTCCCACTTTTCAAGCTAATTCTATTTTCCGAAAATTGCTTTGGGACCGAGGGTGGTGTGTTTGTTGATTCAGCTTTAAGTCAATGTTTTTTTGAGAAGTCTATGTAAAATTAGTTCAGCACGGTAGATTTACGGGCGTGTGGGAAAATACACTTTTCCCATTGATGATAAATCTGAAAATACGATTTTTGTTTGTTTATTCAATATACAAAAATGCTGATTCTATAAATATAAGACTTGTTAGGATTTCTTTTCAAAAAGTAAAAACTTTGCCAGTTGTTAAGAAAAAGTGTTTTATTTAACAGGCATGGGTGACACTGTTTCCTGTTTTATTTTGAGGCAGATTGAATCAGAGCAGGGTATGGCAGACTTTCTGTAAAGGTCCAGAGAGTAAATATTTTAGGCTCTGTGGGCCATGTGGTCTTAGTTGTAACTACCAGATTCTGCCTTTGTAGTGTGAAAGGAGCCGTAGACAGTATGTAAACAAATCAGTGTGGCTTTCTTTCAATAAAAGTTTATTTCCCAAAACACCCAGATTTGGCATGTGGGTTGTAGTTTACCAGTCCCTGAATTAGGGCAGTCAATTCAGAATTTTACAGGACAAAATTATAGAGATTTCTAAGGTATTTTGAACCAAGTTTAATCACAGACTATAAAGAAACTTAATGTAAATTCTAATAGTTGAAAATTTTAGTGCCCAGAAGTCAGAAAATTACAGAATTAAAATTCCAGTCATGATGTTACATTGGAGGAAGAAATTTCTAGTTGTAACACTTTTACTTCTGTTACTAATTTCCAGTCTTCTCCCAAACAGAATGAGAGTGGGGAGGAGATGGGAGGAACTGGAGAAAGCTAGTTGATGTCTGGGCCACCACTTCAGTGGTATAAGGTCACCCAGGGGCTCACCCCAACTCCAGAGGGCCACTCCTAACCACAGAGCAGGGGTCCGGCCTTGAACTGTCCAAATGAACAGCATCTCAGGTTTGCCATTACAGAACTATACCAGCTTCTGATAGCCTGGCCTGCTTGCCTTTAATTTGTGTAGCAGATATACTTTTTTTTTTTAAAATAGTTTATTTTGTCTTGGTTGTTGTTGAGAATATACGCAGCAGAACATATACCAATTTAACAATTTCTACATGTACAATTCAGTGACATTGATCACATTCTTTGGGTTGCATAACCATTCTCACCCTCCTTTTCTGAGTTGTCTCCACCATTAACATAAGCTTTCTGCCCGCTAAGGTTCCTATCCAATCTTTTGAGTTGCTGTTGGCAGTTTGATCCCATATAAGCAGATTTTAAAAGAGCTCAGTGCTTAAAGCAGACATTCTTTACTAGTTAAGCTAAACCATTGTTTGATTTTATGAAGATCCCAGAGGACATTTTTGGTTTAAGGTTTAAAGATTATCTCAGGGCAGTAGTTTCAGGGGTTCATTCAGCCTCCATGGCTGTAGAAAATCTGGATTCCATGAGAATTGGAAACTCTGTTCTATAACAAATATGCTTTATAAAACCCTCAGATCTCCTTTGCTCTTGAGTTCAAGTCTGTGAGGTAGCCTAAAAATAGAACGCAATCTGCATTTTACAAAACAGAACTAGGAGCCCAGGAGATGTCTGGTGGCTTCTGCTGGAACCGGAGGGAAGCACCAGCTCAGGTGTCTGATTCCTAGACCAGAGGACCCCTCTGTCCCTTTGGGAGTGGGTGGAGAACAGCGTGCTCACCCACCCACAGATGTCCTTTCAGTGTTGGACATTGTGTTTCCCCTGGAGAACTTATTGAATGACCATTTTGTGATGTGAATGGTTTTTCCTTAGGGCTATAAATGTAACCAGTCTGAGGTCATGCTGATGCAGGAAAGTGACCTCTGCAGTTAGGTGACATTTAACTGTGTTCAAGTTTACATTTTTTTTCTTAAGAAAAAGCAGTCCAGGTAGCCTTAGAAATGTCAAGGAGATAAGGTAGATGTATTGTAATGCAGTAAGGATTGTTCAGGCAAGACTAATATTTTCTTGAAGGGGTCGCTCCATGCTTTGCCCTCTGTAGAGGTTTAGCCCACTGAGCAAGGTGTAACCTATTCATCACTTAGGTGAGAGGGTTTGGTAGTGAAAGAATTTTTTAAATTACTAATTCTTATGCATTCATTTATTCATTTGGAAATATACCAGGCACTGGGCTAGGTCCTGAGAGTCAGCGTTGAAAATGAGGTCCTTGCCGTCATATTCTGGTGGGACTCTGATCACAGTAAACTGATTTTATGCCCATAATTGGTTTTGGAAAAAGGACTAATTCTTTTTCAGTTGTACTTGTGTGCTGCTTTTAGAAGCCTCTACCTTATCCTGCAAGGGCATTTCTGTTTACAAAGCACTCAATTATACAGTAGGTTGTTACTTGATTCTCACCACCTCCTAGGGAGGGAGGTGAAGGGATCCTTATCTTCATTTCAAAGATGAAGAAATTCAGACTGAGAAAGATTGAGATAGGGTGACCCTGCGTCCTGAGTTGCCTAGGATAGTCTTGTTTTTTGCCTGTTTTCCTTGTATAATTTTCAGTAGCACCCCCTTTCACTCTCCCAGTTGTCCCATTTTGGATGATAAATAATACTGTCAGACTAAGTTTAAAGGACTTGTTCAAGTAAGTGGAGAACTCAACCCTTGAACTCAGATCTTTGATTTTCAGATTTATTTTCACTACAACAACAAAAAACCAGTACACTTGATTAAACAGACAAGGTTTAATTGAGTAACACAATGGAAGCTGCTAACCAAAAGGTCTGAAGTTCGGATCTGCCAGCCGCTCCTTGGAAACAGGTTTTGGTTAGTTCTAAATCAAAACTAAGTGTTACAGAGCATAAGAAGGGGCGGAGTTACTGATGACACCTAAACCTAAAAAACCTATTGCCATCAAGTCGATTCTGACTCATAGCGGCCCTAAAGGACAGAGTAGAACTGCCCCATAGGGTTTCCAGGGAGCGGCTAGCGGATCTGAACTGCAGACCTTTTGGTTAGCAGCCGTAGCACATGGTAGCTCTTAACCACTGCAATAGCTAGTTAATCCAATCAAAGGCTGGGTGTATTGGGCTGATCATTTGGGAATCTGACCATTCCTAATGCAGGTTATTGAGAGCTGGTGATCTGCCTGATTTGTGGTGTTGCTGAGGCTTGGGTTTGAGTGGGATGGGCTGCCACTAGAGAGCTCCGCCCAGTCCCAAGCATAACTTAAAATTCTCTGCTAGGCATCACGTACACATTTTGGGGATATTGTATGCTGGAGTGGTCTTCAACTTGCAGGTAGGGACAGGCATCTCTTTAACATGGACCATTTCCCAACAGTTGTACACCTACGTGTGCTTTAATTATCAGAAGCTGATGGTCAGAGAGCATTTTAGAAATTGTCCAGCCTGGGACCGAGCAGTGCTGGCATTTCCAGCCTCACCACACTGTCATCTCTGACAAAGCAGAGAGTCGTGGGGAGAAACCTCAGGCACCCACAGCCAAGAGGTAGCTGCAGGGCTTGTAGGGGTGCTAGGCCACAGCCTCTTGAAGAAATTTTGAGGGAGATATAGTCTAATGGTCCTGGCAGCTGGCCTCCAGCTCCTCAGTGGGCACTACTCACCCTGCCCGGTGAAGCCTCCAAGGAGAAAGGAGGCCCCTTGGGGGAAGACACAGCTTAGCAGCTTTGTAGCCACGGTATACCGCACAGTGGTGACGTTCCAGAGGCACTCAAGGCATGTTTCACAAATGTTAATCCCATCTCTGTGGCTGACTACCTATACTGCCTTGTACGAGTCGCTTTGTAAAGCAGGAACGGTGATAATACTCCTCTGGAGATGAGGTGATGATGCAAGTGTACGCTCTAGTTCTATCCTAAGGTGAACTATGAAAAATGAGAAATTTGCCTGTATTATTATTTCTTAACTATGCCCAGAACTTAAAATGTTAGTGGCTAAAATATAGCAATGTTTTTCACTGACACACTTTTGTTCGATAGATTAAGCAATCTAAGAAGCAAGATTCTTTGCCATTTTCCCCCTTGGGAACCCAGTCTAGTGAAATGAATTCTATTTTAAATTCAGCTGATTGTATTGAGTGCCTGCTATGTGCCCAACCCTGTTCCAGGTGCTGGGGGCATGAGGC